ACCAATAGTCATTGCTGCATTATGCCTGTAATACTGTATAAGTACATTCTGCTTGCAGTCCTTCTGTGATAAAATGGAATTAAGACAAATATTTATGAATGATGGAGTGTTTGCCCAGTAGCTGTTGACAGGGAGGCTTTGTATTCCCGTAGTCTGGATAGGGAACATAGTAATTCATGAACGAAAGTTATTGTATTCCAAGTATACAGCTGCTTTTACTTGGGATTTAAATGACAAAACTTAGTCCTATATTTACGAGTTAAAGTGCAAGTTTCATGTTCTGCATGCCATCGTAGCTTTTGATTGATGAAAGCTATATTTCTACTGCCAGGTGTTACACCTTGAAGCTAATAGAATTAGGCTGCATTAGCATCTCTGATATTCTGCTAAATAATATGCATCTATATTACTGTTACTATGTCACCATGTCTAACACAACCCACCATATTTTGCCAATAGGTAGAAAAACTTGCAGTGCTCTATTTTCTGCGTACTATGACTAAATTTTTTGTTAGATGTTTTTAAGTATTATGGCCAGTAGTCTGTATTATGGTTGCTACTGAACAAAGCATTTTCTACCATACAGGATGAAAACTGTAGCACTATTTAACTATTATTTTTTTCAATACAAATGGATTGACTGGTGGGGTCTTATCAATTTTAGCCCAACAGAAAGCACTGAAGTTTAGTATCATACTGAATTTCCATCACATAATCCCTATGCTGCTACTGGGCTTCATGTTTGCTAAACACTTATTGAAAGGATAGAAAAACAGCTCTGATGGAGGCCTAATGAGCACTATCTGGCAGGAAAAGGCATTATACAAAAATATAAGTCTTGGTCTTACCCTACTTACACTTCCTGAGTTCAAAGCGGTGACTTTGTAAAACGAACTGAGATAGTGCGGGAAGCTCATAAAAGCTACATGGATGTTGGTGTTTATAAAATGTAAACCCAGATTACCCATGGTGCTAAGCAACAACAATGTGCTATATCTCCGAAAATCAGACCAGTTTTTCTTGAAGAAATGGGCCTGTAAAAGGAAGGTCAGATGTACGTGTGAGAAGCTACATATGTCAAAGAAAACTATTGGCAAGAAAGAATTCTTAGTGAGTCCTTAGGTTACGATGTCTTAATTTGGAGCGAGCTGCATAGATTAACACACTTGGTACATGCGATCTGCATCTGAAAGCAGCAGGCCTTGGCCTTGGCCTTGGCCTTGGCCCTGCTGGGTTGAGCCCTCCTGGGCAGACCCCGCTGGACTGCTGTTGCGGCATCCTCACCAGCTGCCTGTGATAATGCCATTGCATCTGTGCCCCGCAGCAGTATGGCAGGCCGCGAGCAGATGTCGCTACTGCTCTTCTTCCCTGCGTGTGTCGATGTAATAAACATAGTCGGGTTAGAGCACAACCTGTGGTCATCTCCAGTACCTTGTCTGCCTTTGTGTAGGGCCAGTTACCCAGCTCAGAGTACACTCGTTCTTTTGACCCAGTCAAAGCATTTCTGAGGTTCAGTAAAACTTTGATACTGGCAACCTTAGTTTTCTGGTTGGGTTTCTGGTTATAGTTCATGATGTATGTTGTGTAGGGCCAAGTGTCCTGTGAAATCCAGGCAAGTTCGTGAAGGTGAGCCGAGTCCTGGAATGAGAAAATTCAAATGTCCCATGCTGAATTTCTGATACCTAGCCTGTCTTCTCAGTTGGCTGTACTGCACCATCGTTTGTCCTGAGGAATGATACATCAAGTTATTACTCCTTCATGTATCAGAGGCCCTTATTGTATGATATAATCTTGTTTTCTCCTGACTGTCCCTAGCTGAGAACTTACTCAAATATACTTTACAGTGTAAATAGTACTATGCCATTTTATAGAAGCAGGCACAGAGAAATGAAGTAACATAGGCAATGTTGTTTTATTTGTTATTAAATTTCCCAAGGTGTGCCACTTAACATCAAAGGAGTAATTGCTTTCTTGCTTTGAAGATCTTACTGTGTTCTTACAACATGTCACAAGGTAGGATCATGAAAAGGCTTTTAAAAAAGAAAAGTTAGGGTAAGGTCTTAAGAATCTGGTGAACTTAGGATTCACATAATACCTCCTGCATATTTCCTCCACATACCTCCTGTAATTCAGTGGCAGAACTTTGTAAAGAGCGTATTTAAAAGCATCACTGCAGTACAGCAAACACATTTTCCCCTTTTATAAATATATATAAGAAGGATCAAACTTTGTATGTAAGCTATTTCTGCCCTGTTACCATTTGCTGGGACTAAAGAAATGGAGCCTCTCTTCGTCACATTAAAGTCTCTCAAAGCAACAAAAGTATTTGTTTCAACAGACATGTAGGCTGTAATTTCCTCCAGTCTTGTGCCTTTGCCTTCAAAGGGAACAGTTGCTAGAATGGTTCTTAAAAACTAATAGCTTAGTATCTTCTACTGCATTTGTGCACAGCTACATGCTTAGCCTTATAAGTCTTTATGTCTGCACATGATGAAGTGGTGGTAAAGGCACCTTCCCTGTGTCTGTGACAGAAGGATTCCCAGGGTGTAAATAGGTAGGGCTTACACATAGCATAGACATTTAGCCCTTTGGAGCTTAACTTTTTTTGGACTTACTCTAAAGTTTATATTTAGTTACCTAGGAAACTTTGGAGGTTGAAACACATGTGTCTCTGGATGGTATGTAAGGGGATGAATAGGCAGCAGCTGGTTAGGACTTCTGATGACCTGAATTTTGCAGTTAGATGTTTGGGTGGGGTTTGGTGGATTTTAAAGCCTAAATCTTTTAGTTTATCTGGACAAAAATCCATTAGCCTCAAACAGTACTTGATTCCAAGCTTGACACTTCCTTTAGTCACTAGAGGAAGATAAATCCCTGTTTGCGTCAGTTTGGGTTATTTTAATGTTGTATCTGCTTGCTTCACATACGCGCTTGTGATCATGGGTGTACATGGCCACATGAACTACAGTTCAAAGAAGGCACACTCAGCTGATGTTTTTACCCTTTTCAGGAATAGCTGGGACTTGATGTACAACACACATACAGTATGTCAGAAATCAGCTGTTAGAGCTAGGTAATTTCTCTGTCAAAAAGTTTTCACTTACAGCTAGTGAGAAAAACACATTCATGGAAGCAAAAATTTCGAGGGTAATTGCAAACAGCAGTGTTTTAAATGGAAGCAAAGTAGTATATTTAAGATTACAGAGCAGATAATCTCTTATGTTCATGCTTCGTGGAGTATTTTTACTATAGCTTGACATGCATCTTGATTAAATGTGGAATTGTAACAAGTACAGGAGATGGGTGGAATTACTTAAGGCTAATTGGGTGAAATTCACCCCTAAATACAAAGACATCACAAAGTTGAAGTAGTATTTAAGCCTTCAAATACAACATAATTCATGTATAAATCAAGTTGATTAGGAGGAGTTAATGTATTCGGTACTACTCAGCACCACGTGGTTGTATTAACTTTGTTTTCAGTTACAGTAGCCAATTTTAAACTAGAACTGTATGTAAGAAAAAATGAGTCCTCTTGGTCTGTGTTTCCAATGGGCTCAGTCTCCAGTTTAGAAATTACTTTGCATACAAATGAATCAAGAAAACCAAATCCTCATCATAACTGTAACAAGTAACAATAAAAAACAAAGCAGAAATCCATTAGAAAGATGCATAAATATCTTGCCAGGTAGTTTGGGGAAGATGCAAAAGGTAATCACATATGAACCCTCTTACTGAGGTATACAGGTTCTGCACAGAATCAGAAGGGCGGCAGCCTCAGCTTTTCCATTAATACCCTGAACACAAGAATTCAAGGCCTAAACCTGAAACTCTGTACCAGAGTGTACCCAGCTCATGAGAAGCAATTTACTCCCATTTATGTCAAAGGATATGATCCCCAGCTTGCTGATGGCTTTTACTACTTTATAGCATAAGATTTTGCTCTTGTCTTCAGACGCTCTGTCCAACATCCATATGGACTGTCAGACTGCAGCATGGAAAGGATTTTTCCCTCACATGATTACCTACCAGTCCATCTAATCAGAGAGCTTCTAGCCTAAGGGATTTCTAGCTTTCTGCACAGCTACACGTTGGATAGCTTCAACCCTAGGCAAATCTATTGACTATGGGTAAGGACAGCTTATTATAGCACAATTCAATTAGAAGGGACCTCAGGTGGTCATCGAGTTCAGTCTTGTGCTAGGGTTAGCTTAACAACACGGACAGAAGATGATTCCATATATCTTTAGTACTGACCTACTACATTTTGAATTAAGATGCTGGTCATCTTTTTATGCTTATGGGGTGTTTTTTTTGTTTTGTTTGTTTTTGTTTTTTTTAATCACTTCAGTATGACCTTCTTGAGAGTGCCTGCTTCTTGGTTTCTTAGCAGTCATTGAGCAATGTCTCAGGCTCCAGAAGTTTGTCATATTGTTCTTTTCTGAAGAAAAATGAGCTTATCATTTGTAGGTTTTGTGGACAAAGTCTAAAAATACCACAGATGTGGGTGGTGGGGGGGAAGCATGACCCTCATTTCAGTAGAGCGACTGATAACACATCTTATTTACATGTAGCTTGGATTTAAGATGTGTGTCTCCACCTGACCTGGATTCCACTTGCGTATTTTTGTTGACCTTTAATTGATTAGTCAGAGTTTCAGCACCTCTGTTGCTGATGCCAGCAGGTGGGAGTGGTATCTGACATTTGGTTTTACTTTAACAGGAAACTGAAAGCCTCCATGCCTAAGTTTGTTTCTTTAGGAGTGCAACCACTCCTAAAAACTAACATTTCTAGAGGCATTTCTCCTCATGCCTATTTTGGTCTTCTAAATGGTGTACTCCTGAATCAGAGTACTAAAAAGCATTTCACTGTTGAAGTAGAAATAACACCTTGCTACTAAGGCCTGGAACAACTCCAGTAATCCAGCCATCTTGTATTATCATGGCATGCATTTTTAGCACGTGGAGTCAACCAGACTGAGTTATCACATAGATCTGCAACTGTCTTTTGTCTGCTTATAAACTATGCTCAGCATCATCTCGAAGTATTTTAAAAGTCTAAGCCACGGGGTAACATTTTCATTTGCCACCATTCCTCAATAAGTAACTGTCGTCTTTAAGTAACAGGATCATTGTTCTGTGACCCTACAGAGATAGACATTGCAAACAGGCATCCAGTTGTTTGATGTGAACTACATCTGCTGAAAGATTAGTGTTACCTAACAAGCTGTGAGAGTCAACAAAGCACAAAGTTTGCTATATTTACACATCTCTGTTCCACTGGTCTGTCAACACTGGCTAAATATCTTACTAATACTGAAAAATGGAAGAGAATCTGGGTAGCTGAGCAGTGCGCTGGGCAGCCTTGCAGCGCCAAAACTGAAAGTCTGGGATTCTGCCTCAGTCACGACGGAGATGTGAGCTTAGCTGATGAACCCAGTGTCAGTCTGTGTGCATCCACACCTTAGTTACTGAGCTGTTAGAGCAGCCCAATCTTCTCAATAGCTATCTGTACCACTTCAGTGACGTGAACAACTTGTGCATCATAGGAACCACCGTGTATGTTTACAAACTTCCTTTGCCCATTCTTCCAAAAATCCAGCAGTAATGGGCTCCTGTTCATATCACAGCTATAGCATCATCAGTTGCTTTTTATGCTGACAGGTGATAATTGGTTTGTGGTGTGCTCCACGCATCCATCTGTAAATGTTTACTGCCTGCTAGATAGAATTATGTCTGCAGCTCAACATCAGTGAGCCCTTTGAGATTTCAGTCTGCATAGTGGATAAAGGTAAATGATCATATTCTTCCATTGATGCAGTTATTGAATTATGCTGGCAGTTCAGAATCAGTGACTTCACTTCTTTTTTGAAGTTGCTATTTAGGAAACCATAGATAACAGGGTTGACACAGGTGGAAGCCATGGCTACCAGGTGGCACAATGAGAAGATCAGATTGTGGTGGCAAGGTGAAATGATTTTGTAATTCCAGTCCACAATAGTGTTGAAAACATGCAGTGGTAACCAGCAAACAGCAAAGGCAGCAACCATGGATGCTAACAAAATGTTTATGCTTCTCAGCTGAACTGCTCGGTTGCTGTATTCGCTTTTCTCAAACATGTCCTTTCTCTTCTGCAGACGTAAGTAGATACGCAGATAGCAAACCATAATGAAGAAAAGAGGGATGCAGTATTGCAAGAGCAGCAAAGTGGTGGTGTAGATAAGTCTGTGCTGCTCAGAAGGCCACGAGTCAATGCATATGGCCTTGTCAGTGGAAAAATTCATGATGTACGAGAGCTGCTCATACAAATCATTAGACAAAATGGACGTGGTCAGAAAGGGCAGGGACATGAGGCATGCTAAAGTCCAAATGACTCCAATTCCTAGATAGGCTTGGGAGATACTTGGCCTCCAGCCAGTTGGATTTATGATGAGCTGATGCCTTTCCAAAGCAATAAGGACAAGGGAAAGAATTGACACTGTCACAGATGTGCACTGAATGAAGGAGGTCATTTTGCACATGACCTCCCCAAATATCCAGTAGTCCATCATGGTGTAAACAATGGTGAAAGGCAGGCAGACAAGACCCATAAACAAGTCTGAAATGATTAAGTTGGAAATGAGGATGTTGGTGACATTGGCCTTTTCCTTCTGCCTGGCTATGACGGCAATAAGACAGATGTTTCCCACAATGCCTAGGACAGTTTCCAAACTGTAAGAAGTGACCAGAAAGACAGTAAGGTCAGTGATGTTCCTGCACTGATTTGAAAGGTGTGTGGGGAAGCTTCGGTTTGAGCTCCAGTTCTTACTGTTCATGAAGGGAAAACCATCATTAACAACCCTGGACTTATTCATCCTGGACCCCAAAAGATTATCCAAAAAGGTGATAATGAAATAGAATCTGGGTCTTCTGGAGCTGGCTCTAGAAATGTTTCATCTGTTTTGTTCAGCTGCAGAGGATCTGATTATGTCTGCAAAGGAAAGGAAAAAAGAATGCTAAATTAAGCAACAGTAGATAAGTCAAAGGGGTAGTGTGTAGGGGAGTGAGACAGGGAAGTGAGTACCAATGATTCTGTGAAAAAAAGACATGCCTTCCTTTCACTTATTGTATTGGACCATAAAATGGAGTTATTTGCTGGCTTTGGTTCTTACTGTCCTTAAGTCAGTGCAACTCTATTGCAATATACTTATATTGAGATTACCCCATGATTTTAAGAACATCTGAACTTCATCATTTATCTCAGTGCAGTATCTTGAACATCACTAATATAGTAGAGTGGCACTTCAAGACGGCTGAGCTGAATTACAGTAAGGAATAAAAATTATATGTAATTCTGGATTTGCAAGGTTCCGATCCAAAAAGTGGGCAGAAGGTACTGGGTCAGGCTGCATTTAGCTTCATGCAAGCTAAACATCAAGGTGAAAGCTAAGGCATAGGAGCTGCATAAAGCTGACATAGAAATATCTTAGGTGAGTTAATCTGTGAATTGAATTTACAATTGCAACCAGAACACTCAGCATTTGCTTGAGACAGAAAAACTTAGGCTCAGATCCTCAGCAGTGATAACATGGATCAGTTTCGAAAAAGTGTGAAATGATTCAGAATCAGTTCCACATTTTTCTGCTGCTTTGCAGCTGCAATAGCTCACGGGAACTGCAGTCCAACTCCCTTGCTTCTCCTTTCTAGATGAGCTCCTGTGCCCATAGGGCACTGATGTGGGAGGCCAATGTAGTCATCACAGGATTTGCCAGAAATATATTCCAGTCTCCTGATTTTGGCCATAAGAGTCGGTGATTTCAACAGCCTCACTTAATTTCTTGTCAAAAGTTTATTGATTCTCCCCCAGCATAATTTTACTTTTGGCAGCTTTTAATGAAGAGAATTCAAAGGTTGCAATAACCTGGATTAGTGACTTACTATTTCTGCACAGGCAGATTGGTCTGCTTCCTAGCACCTGCTGCAGCCCCTGAGCTGGGCTTTTCAATGAAGTCTCAGGCAGTTGAGTCCACAGAGTTATTAGGAGCCAGATGCTTTTGGAAATCTTGGCTGTAGGATTGACTGGACTCTACCAGTGGGCCCCTGGGAGACTGTTATAATCAGCCTCTGTCACCCCTTCTTCCCAGATTCTTTTTCTCTTCTGTAC